TTAAATTCCAGTGAAATATATTTATGTTTGTGGTTGTAATGTGACAAAATATGGAAAAGTTCAAGGGGTATGAATACTTTTGCAAACCACTGTAAGTACAGTCCATTTACCATGTCTACATGCTTAAATGTATTGAGTTTCTGCTATGTGATTGGCTGATTTGACATTTGCGTTAATGAGCAGGTGTACCTAATAAAGTGGCCGGTGAGTGTATGTTTATATGTTTAACTCCTGATTGCTCAAAAACAAGGTTTGTTTTTCTGCTCATAAGGTTCTACTAATCCTAAAAAGTTAACAGTTAACGGCAACAATATCCTGCATATATCAAGGTACAATAATGGAAGTTCAGAGGGACTAAATCATTACAAAAAGTTTTTAGTTTCACATCCACCCTGTACATTTTTGTATGTTGACTATTTTAACAAAACATTTCTATCTTACCAGGCAGTAACGTTGTAGTAAAAGCTAAAGTGATTTCAACTCCTGTTCATGTTTTCCTCTATATGTGGGAGAACGTCACATATTCCTTGTTTGCTTAAAAACCGTTATAGTTCTCTTCATGTGGATTTCAAAGGGCGGGCTAGTGGGTGGCATCTTGCTAGAGATGCAGTGCCTGCACAGAACATTCCTTAAATCTGGTGGACAGTCGGTTGTTTGCATAACTCCCGTCTAGTTACATTTCATTACCTCCAACAAATAGCCGATTCATATAGCGAGGGGTTTCTGAAACCCAGTGTCAGCACTGAATACTTACAGAGTTGTGCTTTGTATTCCAGCTGAATCCAGATTCCCAGACATTTTTTTTTCTGTCAGGGACTACATGAAAAAAGTGAAGTTTTGTAAGTAAAACATTGTAAAATTTGTTATGGTGTAATAATAAGCAGGAAACATTATACAATAAAAAGTAAAAGTATAAGTTAAAAATAAAAACCCTGACTAAAAACACAGACTGACAGATTAGACCAGTGAGCATTTTTGAATTTATTCATCAAATATGTTTTCTTCCTTTAACAGAATCCAAAAAATCTGTTGCTACATTTAATACACAAATCAGTGTAAAAATGTCACTCTAAGTCCAATACAAATATTTTTCATGGTGGTTAAGGGGATGGGACCAGTGTGTGTGTGTGTGTGTGTGTGTAGAGGTGGGGTGGTGTCCTTAAGTAGGGGCAGACTTATCACTTACCTTCTTTGCAGTGGGAGTCCTTTCTCAGCTCTTTCTTCCAAGTTCAAATCCAGCCTGCGTGAGCTTCTCTTGCTTAGATGGAGGGAGAAACATAAAGTCAGACATAAAACCAACAACTAATTTATCCTTCTGGTAAGCTTCATTTTACATTTAATTCACAATTTTTAAAAGAGTTCAACTGTAGACACTTGGAGAAATACATCCAGTACATTTTAAAGTCTGTTTTTATGTGTGGTGGTGATGGGCTAAAGGTTCAGAGCAGAAGTATTTTTCACCGAGCTGAATAACAGAAAAGTAGTCTTGCACTTAAAATGATCGTATTTGGCACTAACTTTAGCTTTGATGCRAGATTTAGTGTCCAAATAATGTTTTGTTTTCGTATTTGTTGTATTTCTTATTTTTCCTATTTTTTTAATCATTTTAATCACATTAAATTATAGTGTGACATTTTGTATTTCAGTTTTAAAGTTAAAACTGTAGCCTAAAAGCCCAATTTTCTGCAACTTCAGAGGAAAATCTAAAGCTTTACGTTATTATAGCAAAACAATAAAAGCAAACATAATTGCGTAATAATTAATGAATATTTCCGTGTTTTAGGAGTTAGCAGATTTTTTTTTTTACTTTCCATACTTTGAAAGGTGCGCCGTGTCCGTTACTTCTATATAGTAGCACTTTGTTATCGCTCTTCTTACTCTCACAGGCTGACTTTTTGGATTAACCACAGGTTTTTTTATTCCTTCTCATTTATATTTTACTTGTTTCGCAGTAGGGTTGGGCATAACTGTATCATGTGCAATTAATCRTCAGAAAAACATTAATCSATTATTTTTTGGCACTTGACGATTAATGCGTTTAATACCAGTAGGCAGACTAAATCTCCATTTAATCTGCTCGATGCTCTCCGCTTCAAATATGACAAACATTAAAATAGTTCTGAAATTTATTTATCTATCAACACAATTTTAAAATTTGATGTACAGATTGAAGTCTGTAATTTTGACACAATTTGKAAYAGAGTTTTATGAACAGCARAACTTCCCCACTGAATAGGTCATGTGAGTAGGACATTAGAGTGTCCAGAAACTCCAGGGCATTAATCGTCATATTAATTGTTATCGGCTAMATACCGAAATTAATCGTGATTTATTTTTTTGCCAATATTGCCCAACCCTATTTCGCAGATGTTGAACAGAAACATGACTGGAATTCTTTTGATCTGAATTTGTTCTGTATGTTTTTAAAGTATACTAAAATACATATAATTGGTTTTAACATTGTGTTCAGTTATAAAAAAATAAATCTGAATTTATAATGAATAGTCTCATTTTCTTAAATGTTTGGTTTATGCACAGTGATTTCTGGACAAAATTGGTTCCAACAAAATTGTATTTTAAAGAAACTTGTATGCATAGTAGGATACAAATCTTCCTTTGACATCCCCAATAAATGGGAAATCACAGCACATAACTTAAAGCTTGTGGCTTGCTTTTCATCCCTGAAAATAATTAAAGCTTTTAAACTTACTGCAAAAAATGTTGTATATTTTACCATTTCTGGCAAGGAACAGTGCCACTTTAGAGCAGATCATAAAACCTTGGATTGATGTAAGAGGAGCTTGTGAGTGGGCACATTATCTGAAGAGTGTGAATGGGAAGTCTGTGAATGTAGCTGACCAGTGCTGAAGAGTGTCTATACTCAGTAAGAGCATGCTTAGAACTCAGACTTATGAAGAAAGTTATAAATGGCCTGACATGGGTTTTCTGGTTTACAGTCAATCATCTTATATGTATTTTTTTTTTTCATCTATAGGAGTGACCTGGCAAATTCAATCCAACAACTGTTCCAAAAAGTAAAATAGTAAAGGAGGACCTTTCATATACGTATATAACTGATCATTCAAAAGCAATATGATATCTGGGTACAGCAGCAGGCTCAAGATGCTGTTTACTCTAGGACTTCTCCTCCTCCTCACCCCACTTCCCTCTTTTGAAACCACAACCAATCAGAAGAGAGATGCCAGAGGAAGCAATGTGACCAAGACCAATACTGTTCTCACTCTCTTAAAACCAAAAACCACTTCCAAACAGATTGCGAACCCCGCCCTTAAACCAAATCCAGTCAACACAACGGTTTTACCAACATCAGGTTCCAACCAAAAACCTACAACAGCCAGCCCTACCAAGACACCCAAAACCAGGCTCAGCGTTGCAGTAAATCAAACCACTTCAGCAGCAGCAAAGGCTGCTCCAACTAGCATCATCATGAACAAAGACAAACACAAAGTCAACCAGACTGCTTCCAGAGATAACCCTGCACCCACCGGAGCTCCAAAGGTTCAATCAACATCTACAAAAGCTCCTTCAACCAGTAAAACAACAAAAATCAAACCCCAACACTCTGCCAATCCCAGTCCTTCACCAAAACCTTCATCAACCAGTGGGGCGAAAATGATCGAAGAAAAGCCTAATCAAACCGTTCAGCTCATTTCAGGGAAGAATGTTTCAGTCAATCACAGTAAAACTGTTAAAAACAAGCCTACAGCCTCTGCAAATCAAACCATTGATGCCGATAACCGTCCCAGCAGTGATGAAAACTCCAAAGACCATCCGACTTCAACAACGAATGTTCACAATGTTCCATCAAAACCAGCAAAAGATGACAAAGTTAGTGATTCAACTGCAGACAAAAACAAAGCAACACCCTCTGCAAATCACACTTCAACAACCACCACCGTCAAAGAAAAGCCTGCCCCTTCACAGCCAATCAAAGTGGTCATCAGTGACGGCTGTGACTCAAGCCACGCGAAGGAACAGGAGTTGACCCTGAAGCCTGGCGCTCCTTTATTGATGACACATAAAATCAGCCTGCTCCCTGGTGGCTGTACTGGAGAATGTGAAGCTGAGATGGCCGATTTGAAAGGACGTGTGGCCAGACTGGAAAAAGAAATGTCCTTTTTATTGGGGAACTGTACGTCTTACCAATTTTACACATCTAAATCAATGTTTTACAAATCTGAGTTATTAATTCTGGTTCCTCCCGCTGCCATGCAGGTCCATGTTCTGCAAATTGTCCAAATGACTGTAGTGGAAATGGGAAATGTGAGAAGGGGAAATGTATCTGCCATCAAGGATTTATGGGTCCAGACTGCAGTAAGTGTGCACAGGGTGCCAAGTGTAATGAAGGTAAGAGCTTCTACTGTTCTTACAATAAAAAAACTTGTTCGTTTTTTTTTAACTGACTCTTAACCTCTACTTTGCAGTTTCAGAAAGTAACAGGAATGAAAAAGAAAAAGAGAAGAACATGACCATACAGGAAAAGAAAAACATCACTAAAGTGGACAACAAAGGGCTGACGGAAGGGTTTGAAAACAAAGCTACCAATACCAAAGTAGGATCTAATGCAAAAGAGGGACATGTGAAACCACAAGACAACAAAAAAACTTCTGACAACAAAATTAATGAAAAAACTGACAGAAGCGAGCAAGAGGCTCTCCAAGGGAAACCCCAAACCAAAAATGTTTCTCCAACAAACAACCCAAAACCTGATCAGAAAAAAAATGACAAAGAATATCTTAATCTTGACAACATAAAAGATGATCCTCTATCCAATGTAACACAGGGTAATACGAAAAAAACTAATGGCACAGCTAAAGTTGAAACCAATACTTCTCAAAACACAAGTCCAAAGAAAAACAAAAAAGAACACGACGTAACCAGGAAGCCCACACTAGCTGAGATGAAGAACCCYCAATCATCTGAGAAAAAACAAAGCAACACTGATAAACCAGAAAACAAAAATGAGCAAGCTACTGAAAACAGGAAAACTCCAGGTGTGGCTGCAAAAGACAAGGTCATACAGAAAAATCAACATGTTACGAACACAACTAATAAAATGACAGAGAGGACGAATGTCCTTAAGAACAAAACAGAAATCCATAGGACCAAAATGACTGGCGGTTTAGGGTCGATGAAAGTTGAGAACATTTCCTCCCACAGCTTTACCGTCAACTGGCTAGCACCTCAAGGAATGTTCAAGAATTTCACTGTGATTAGAAAAGAGCCACTGACAGAGAGTGAGCATGAGGAAGAGCTTGAAGTGGAGGCTGCAGCCTGGAACTCAACTGAGGCACAACATGAGAGCACCAACTTAACCGTCTCCTCCAGCAAAACAGCTGGATTCAAAGATAAAACTGAAACCAAGAGGATCTCTATGGTGCTGCCGGGCAACGTACGCTCTGTGGAGTTCAGTAATCTCAGAGCAGACACCCACTACTCTCTGCAAATCTATGGGACTACGGCAGAGAGAAGATCCAAGATTCACAGAGTAACAGCGATAACTGGTTAGCAATAAATAAGATCCTAATTCACGATTATAAAACAGACACTAAAAAACAATTAATATAATAAAAACTAATTGTCTTCTATTCTCAGGTCCTAAACCACCCACCAAACTGGTTTTCAGCAACGTAACAGAAAATTCTGTTGCTGTTTCCTGGACCAAACCAAAGACTGTTTTTACAGGCTTCAGAGTAACATACATCAACAAGGCAACAGGTCAGTCAAAAATCCTTTATTACAAGTCAGAAATTATATTACAAGTCAGAAATTTATTCAAAATCTCTGACTGACTACATCTGTCCTTCTTGAAGGACAGATATTCGTCAGTCCAAGGAAAAAGATTATGGAATAATCTGGAAAGTGATTATAAAAAGCCTGGTTCACTTAAATTGTTTAAGAGAATGATAATTGTTGGTTTGTTGGAGAGATATAAGATTGTATAATGTGTATTTATAAGTATTACTGTTTGAGAAATTGAAGTTTTTGTTTCTATTATCGGATTTTATGGTTCGTAATTAATATTATTACTTTTTCAAAAATAGGGGCAGATATTGTAAAAAAAATTCTCCTTCTGCTACCTTTCATTTTGTTTGATTTGTATTTTTGTTGTATGCAAATTTGTTTTGTTTTTAATGAAATGAATAAATGAATAAATAAATAAATAGATTTAGATCATAAGACAAAGTTGGGTGCATTTGTAAAATGTGGCAAATATATGATGTCTGTTTTTTATGCCGTCAGGGAAGAGCCGCTACGTGAGCGTGAGCTCTCAGCAGTCACATGTTGTTCTGTCCGAGTTGTCCAGCGGGTCATCCTACACTATCAGTGTTACCACAGTTAAAGGCAGGGCTCAGAGTGATGAGCTCACATCTGTTATCACCACAGGTATACTTTCAGACAAGCCCACCTTTACAGACTTGTACATTTATGTTGCTTGACATGTGAGAAAAGAAATAACTTATGTCTTGACGGTATAGTGCCTGCCCCTCCAACACATCTTCAAGTCAACAATGTAACCGATACCAGAGCTGTGCTGCAATGGACCCCCAGCCTGGGGAAAGTAGACAGTTTCATCATCAACTACGAGTCCTCCAAAAGTGAGTGTTGCACCATTACCAACATCTGGTGACGAAGTGTGATTAACTGATTGGAGTGTCTTATTTGTTTTGCCTTTTTGTTCACAGCTCCCAATGTRACAGTAACAGTGATGCTGTCAGGAAGCTCAGCTCAGTACCAGCTTAAAGGCCTGCAGAGAGGCACGCTGTACAAGGTCAAAGTGCTGAGCCAAAAGGGCAGCCTCAAGAGCGTGGCCATCTCATCTACTTTCACTACTGCAAACGGTGAGCGAAWGAGAAAGGATAAACTATCCTATGTACCTACTATGCTGGTACAAGGGGAGAAGAACAACATGTGACTCTATGAACAATAGAGCTAATCAAGCCTATTGTTAGGCGATTGCCCTCTTTTGCATGTGACTAACCTGTTTGTCCATTTGCATGTGACTAACCTGTTTGTCCATGAAGAGGCAGTGCTTATAAGGCTGAGTTCACCTGAAACTCATCAGACTGAAGAAGTCTCTTGGGGGAGAGACGAAACGTTTCGCTAAAGAAGAACCCATCCAAAGGACCTACTTATTTTTTTCTTTTTTGAGAAAGGATAAAGATGCTCATAAGCCAGATATGAATAATATGTGGGTTCATGCCTAGACTTTTACCTGTTAATGTTTGTGGTCATCTCGCAGTGGTTAAAGCCAGTGAGGTTGGTGCTCGCTCCGCAGTGATCACCTGGAGAACGCCCGTCGTTTATCACAGCTACAGGGTGATCTATCAGGTGGCAGGAGAGAAGGCAAAGGTGGGTGACGATCCTTCACAACTAGCACAAAGAGAGATCTCACAGTTACAGCAGAATACGCTTTTTATGTGTGTTTCTCTGTTAGGAGGTGATCCTGGAGCCCACCTACACAGAATATAAACTGACAGGCCTGATACCGCTGTCACGCTACACCGTTCTGGTACAAGGGGAGAAAAACGAACGCTACACATCTCTTGTCACCTCACAGTTCATCACTGGTACTTTTTTTTGTACTTTGCCATCTTTTTTATAGGAAACAGATTGTATCTAACATTGTGTGTGTTTATCTTTTCAGGGAAGGTGCGTTTCCCTTTTCCTACAGAGTGTTCCCAGGAGCTGCTGAATGGAGCCCTGGAGTCGGGGGAGGTTGACATCTACCCACAAGGAAAAGAGGGACAAGCAGTGAGAGTCTACTGTGACATGGAGACTGATGGAGGCGGCTGGACGGTAAAATTACAAACTATTATATCTGCTACACTTCAAACCAAGCCAGTCTATAAAACAAGCTAAGAAAAAAAAGTGTTTTGTAGGTGTTCCAGAGAAGAACAAATGGAAAAACAGATTTCTACAGGACCTGGAGTGACTACAAAGCTGGCTTTGGAAACCTGAGCGAAGAATTCTGGCTTGGTYAGAAATCATCACCACTTCTGATTAAAAGCTGTTTTAAACGATATCTGTCTAAATTGTAAAGTGTCTCCTTTCTTTGCCAGGTAATGAGCTCCTGCACAGCCTGACCAGTATGGGCCCTGTGAGTTTGAGAGTGGACATAAGAGCTGGAAACGACACAGTTTACGCTCACTACACCAACTTCTCCATCGCTTCGGAGGAGAAGAACTATATCCTTACTGTGTCCGGCTACACGGGAACAGCAGGTGCACAAACTTGAGCTTTTTTTTTCTTTTTTTTTTTTTTTGGTTTTATTAAAATTTAAAAGTTCACAAATGTTAAAAAAGTAAACGCTACAAAGCAGGAGTAAGTATTAGGAAAAAAATGCCAGGTTTGGGTGTTTTGTTGAATACTGCAGTGCCTACACCTCTAAAAACAAATAAATCACAAGAATGATGTTTCATTTTAGTTGTTAACTTATCTTAAAACAATCAAACACTTTGTTTCTTATATCTACAAAATTTATAGTAGTATTCCAGGCCAAGAAATGAGTTTAATAATGACTTTTTCTCTCAGATGTTGATGTAATGATACATTATATGGCACTAAGAAAGACTTCTAGAGGCATTCTGGCAGCAAACAGACCCTCACAAAGTACCACATCCAAACATCASCATCAACACAGGAACATATTACAACCAAACAGCATTTACAGTAGGTTTATATACTGCTATCTTTAAAGCAGAGGTTCTCAAACTGGGGTCTGCAAGAGGTATCTTGGGGGTCCTCAAAAATATTCACTTTATTGTTAATTTGGTTTTTATTTTTCAAAATGCATGGGGAACACTGAACTAATAAAACAAACATAATAAACTAAATAAAAAATATATTCCCATGGCATTTAGGAGTTAAAAATAATAATAAATTATCTTTTAAAACAGCATGAGGTTTATGAGGGGGTTGTTTTGTTTTGTTTTTTGCCCTTGTAATGGGTCCCCAGACCCAAAAGGTTTGTTTCCCTGCTCTGAAGCCACAGGCATAGTTCCTCTGTTAGAGATTTCAGAAGGTTAACAGAGCTTTACTTAAGTTAGTGAAACACCAAAAAATAATTACATATTTGCAGCTACTATGCAATTTGCAAATTGTTTTACTTGTGTTGTTCTCAAAGGCTTGCAGTTACAAACACTGCTAGTTCGTTAAAATTCAGAACTGGCCCACTCCTAAAAGACAATTTTAATTATTAGTTCAGACATTTCAAGAGGACAGAGTTGTATAGCTTAGACTGGTTAAGGTTAGCTTGCTAAACTGTAACATAAAACCTGTAAGCTTTCACCCTAATATAGGCTACTTCTTTCAAATGTTTAAGATACTCTGCGATGTAAAACAAAAAAAAAGTGCTATAAACATTTAAAAANCGTTGGGTCTGACTGAATCGTTCCAGTAATTAATGGCCAAACATCGACAGGTGAGGAAGGTTGAGTGGTGCGTTCGACGTACCTCGGAAATCATAWATTCGTTCAATTTGGAACGCTGAAAACTCGTAGGATTTTTATTACTGCAGCTATYRTTAYTTTTTTATTACTTGATGTAGCTMTACTGGATCTTATAAGTTAGAAGTGGTCAAGAATTCACAATMAAAGTCAGAATTCTAATCAGAGGAGAAGTTTGAGTCGATTTTTCCGGCATAGATATCGGAAATCCCTACTTCCGGGTATGAATAGAACGCACCGTAAAGGCAAAATGGTAAGAGTTGGTATGGTCCTCTGTAAGGGGCGTCTGAAATCAATAATTAAGATTTATTCAAACTGAAATACTGTATAAAAATACATAATAAAATATATAAATTGGGCGTGATATAAACAATTRGTCATTTTAAATCCAGTTTAATCATTAGTTTCTACTTTTTGAAAGGACCAAATGTCATTATTAAGTCAATCTCGCCCTTTTTCCCCACCAGTAAATGGGACCATTTTTACCAGCCTTAATGTTTTACTMAGTTAAATTCTAAAATGGAAAGTAATTTGAAAAAAAAAAACATTAAATTATTTTAGAAATTTAAACTATTCTTACCCATGGTTAAGAGGGTTAAGATGATTGTGAAAACGAAGAGAGAGATGAGGAAATGAATGCTGCCACTTCCCATCTAATACAAGACAATTTTCTTCAACACAAGGTGACTCGATGAGGTACCACAATGGGCGTCCATTCTCAACCCGAGACAAGGACCCGGACCCTGTGGGGATCCACTGTGCCAAGGCCTACATGGGAGGCTGGTGGTACAAAAACTGCTACAAGGTCAACCTCAACGGCCTTTWYGGCACCAGCAGTAAAAATCAGGTATTAAAATTAGTCATCTTAACTTCTCTGATCGCTCTCACCGAATGCGCACCAATGATTTACTGTTTCTTTGTTCTCTTTTAGGGAGTCGTCTGGATAGACTGGAAAGGTAAAGACTTCTCCATTCCCTTCACTGAGATGAAGTTCAGACCCTCCAGGTTCTCCCCTGCAACTCACGGCTAAAGATGCGTCGCTCTCCACGAAGTCACAAATCCAGAAAACAAACGTCGCAACAGCTGGATGTCTCTTTCCAAATGAAATGTCATGGAGTGGTTTCAAAAAGGACGACTGCAGCAACAATGGCATATAATTCATGTTTTTCTGAGTTGTTTTTTTTGTGTGTGTGTCTGTGTGTGTGTGCGTGTTTGAGGAAATACAACAAAGAATGAAGAAGTGCTTCATTGTGACTTTTATATGTTGTTTTAATCTTTTGCATGATGCAACCAAATTAAAACCATTCTGTTTTTAAGCCTTTGCCCACCACAAACTATACATTCCCACTATTACTGTAATGAAACGTGCACTGTCTTACTCCATTGGAATAAACAAGTCTAGAGTGGGGTTTAAGTGTCGTCTTGTTTCATGGGAATAAAAATGTTCTGTCAGACCAAGAGTTTTGCACCAAGATAGAGAAACGCTGACATGACTGATTCTTATGTAAGCTGTGGTTTATTTTTATGCCCTTCAACACGTATCAGGCTATCTATCTGGTACATGCGTTGCACTCAGTACCTATCTTGACCTAAAACATTTAGATAYCCTTGATTTTAGTGCAAACATCCTATCAGCGACATGACACTGAGGAGGCAGCTATAAAGGAGAGGAGTGAAGTTCTGACCTGCTTTTTGAGCAAACAAAATGGCATTAGAGATATCACTGATCAGTGTTGGAGCTGTGTTTTTGCTCGTACTGCTGTTACTGGTGGTGATTTCTGGTCGGAGGGACACTCGTTCACGGGGAAAGGACAAAGTAGGTGAGTCCAGGTGTGTGTCAGTAAACACAACGTGATCCTGTCAGCTGTTCCAGTCTCACGCTGGTCTTTTTGGATGCATCTAGGGGTCGAATCTGGACTTTTGCAGCATCTGTGTCAGTTTCTCCATTGCTCCTCATCCCCCTCCATCCCAGGACCCCCCGGCCGCTTCCTCATCGGCAACATGATGGAGCTGGCCCACGACCACATGCCGATTCACCTCACCAATCTGGCGCAGAGATTTGGAAACATTTACCGCCTGAAATGTGGAAACACAAGTAAACATCCTGAAAATGACAACRCATATTGTTTCACTATCAACTGTTCACTAAAACCTTGAATGTTTTGAACCAAATTCTGAATCTGAACTTTGTTTTTTTTTTATATTTTTTTAAGCCATGGTGGTGCTCAGTAGTAGTGAAATCATAAGAGAAGCGCTGGTGAAGAAATGGTCCGACTTTGCAGGAAGACCAGTCTCCTACACAGGTGATGACTCTTTATCAAACTGATGAATAGTGGTGATCAATACTGAAATATTGATACGACCGATACCAGAAYTTTATCTTCTAGAATCGATACTAAAATCAAAAATATCGATACTTTGATACTTCAATTATTTCACAAAATATTTTCACATTAACAGGAAATAGTGGAAACAAACTACTCAAATCTTGTCTAAGTCAAATGTGGTTGGAGGGAACTACTTTTTCTTCCGCTTGAGTAATGCATGCGCACAGTGGCACATGCTCAGTCACTCAGTCTGTAGAKGTATGGCARGTCATTTTAACATAAAAYCTGCTTTGTCTGACTGTAATTAMATTCTAGTTCCCAAACTTTTTCATGCCATGRMMCCCCAAACAGGATTGGTTCTRGCCAAGGACCTTCTYGCAAACCCACAAACAATGCTACAAAATATACAAAGTAACAACTTTTAAACTGTTTTCTCTCACTTTTATTCACTATTCAAAAATTATTGTATTTCTTTAGAATAAGAACTGTGCTAAACAAATATAAGGTTAGTGTTAGAAAGACTTTTAAATTAAATAAATTACTATGTCATGTATTATTTATAAAGCGGTTATTTGAAAAACGCTACTTTACCAAATACATTATATGTGTTAGCACAAAGTATCAGTATCGGATCAGTATCACCGATACCAGCCAAATTTTATTCGGTATCAGTTTCGGAAAGAGAATTGGCAGTATCGAATATCACCACTGATGAATGCAAAGACTACACATCCTCACGAGCTCTCTGTTGAATCAGGTAATATTGTCTCTGGGGGAGGGCGCAACATCTCTTTGGGGGACTACACTGAGGAGTGGAGGGCGCACCGTCGTCTCGTCCACAGTGCCTTGCTGCGAGGCTGCCAGCAGTCTTTGCATGGCGTGATCGAGAGGCAGGCTCTGCATCTGAGAAAGGTGGGAAAACCAAGCAGCAGTCCCAAAGAAACCCAAAATCTGGGGTATTTCCAGTGTCGCCACATTATCTGATGTCTTTTTATTGCTCAGGTTCTGCTGGACTATCATATGAAACCTGTTGATCTCTCAGAAGACTTCACAGTGGCAGCCAGTAACGTCATCACCACTTTGGCTTTTGGAAAAGAAGTCTGTTCTCTATTTTTTTCAATAGTTTATTTTGAACTGGAAATGGTTTATGAAATCAACATGAAAGAAACTGTTGTGATTTTGCCAGACCTGTAATTTGTTGGTGGGGAAGTGGGTAAAGTTTCTGTTTATGGGGACTTGTTTTTGGAAACATGTATTGCACAAACACAGTTACACATTGCCGTTCTGTAGAAACGCAGTGTTTATCGCTTCTTCTAGTACGATAAGAAGTCGCCAGAGCTGCAGCAGCTGCACAACTGTCTGAACGAGATAGTTGGTTTGTGGGGCTCCTCCTGGATTTCTGCACTAGACTCCTTTCCACTGCTCAGAGTCAGTACAAATCCACTTTCACAGCTGTCGGTCACATTGTATTAAATCTGATTCTTTTTCACGAATTCCAACACTTTCTCTCTCAAAGAAATTACCAAACCCCRTGTTTGCACGTCTTCTAAAAGAAGTGGCCAGGAGGGATGAAATCATAAAGCACCACCTCGATGATTATAAGGTTAGTAGTGCGGAGTCAATGGTGTCATTTTAGGAGTTTAAAGTGCCTGTGACATCAATTTTTTGTAATAAATGTGAATGCGTTTTTGGAAAGAGAACATTGATAACATAATGCAAAACAAATTTCATGCTGCTGAGATGAACAGTTGTTGAGATATTTGCATGTGAAGAAACAGGA